CCTCACAGAGTTGGCGTTATCAGAGCGGAAAAATCACGTCAGAGAGAGAGAGAGAGAGAGAGAGAGAGAGAGAGAGAGAGAGAGAGACAGTGAGAGAGAGAGAGAGTGAGAGAGTGAAAGAGTGAGAGGGAGAGAGAGAGAAAGGGGGGGGGGCTGAGAATGAGTGACTTTGAGACATTTTACAAACGATAAAATCGTCTAATCGTCTTCTACATTGCACATTTCTTCCAAAGACCGTCGTACAAATAAGAGATCAGAAAGAATGCTTTCATCCGCACACATGACATTACACGTCTAATACTTGGTGGAGTCGAAAATTCATAATGATCTAAATATCATAATGATCTAAATATCATAATGATCTAAATATCATAATGATCTAAATGTCACAATAATCTAAACGTCATAATGGTCTAAATATCATAATGATCTAAATGTCATAATAATCTAAACGTCATAATGATCTAAATATCATAATGATCTAAATATCATAATGATCTAAATGTCATAATAATCTAAACGTCCTAATGGTCTAAACTTCATTATGATATAAACTTCATAATTATCTAAAAGTCATAATTATCTAAAATTCATAATGATCTAATTATCATAATGATCTAAATGTCATAATTATCTAAAATTCATAATGATCTAAATATCATATCCAAACTTCATAATTATCTAAATATCACAATGATCGAAACGTCATAATGATATAACTTCATAAAGAGCTAAACGTCAAAATGACCAGATTTGGAAGGAGGACATGGTATTTGTGAACGTGCTACCGATCCTGAAATTTAAAAATAAAACAAAAAAACTTTCTCCCCACTCGGGAATCGAACTGGCGTCTCTAACGTGAGACAGCGAAGGTCTAACCGCAGCACCGTGGGTAGTTGGTGGGTGCTCTGGTGTGGTTTGCTTCTTCTTTCCTATCAAACCTCTATCGTCCTCATCTCCCCTCCTTCTTGTGTTTGTTACTCTCTTGTGACACCTCTAATCTTCGGCACTTGTAAAACCTTATTGTGTTGCGAGTGCCGTAAAACACTTACTAAAGCAATAACCGTAGCACCATAGACACCGGTTCGCGGTCTGTGATATCGTCTCTCACGTACTTCTGGAAACCTACTTCGTATCAATTTGTGTCTTTGACTTGTGTCTGTCCATTTCTTCATTCGGGTGATTTATTTGATTGGTTCATTGGATGATTTAGTTTAAATCTTAATCGGTTTCTTCCCTGTATTAATTTGTTACATTCATTTTCATTTTTGTTTTACCATATTTTTTTGTTTAATATGTTTATTTACTTGTTATTTATTCATCGATTCATTTGTTTGTTTTTTCTGAATATTTATATATGTATTTTGACTTATTCATTTATTCACTTAAATTCATTCATTCATTCATTCATTCATTCATTCATTCATTCATTCATTTATTCATTTCTTCATTTCTTCATTCATTCATTCATTATATTTATTTATTTATTTTCGGATACATATTTTCATTCTGTCCGCAACTCGGGAAGAAGGGTAGGATTTACGGGTTTCTTTTGACTCGTCACAAGACGCACTCCTTGTTATTCTCCCCACACCTCAATCCTGTCGATCGTTTAAACATACACGTAAACAATTCTCGCACCAAAAGGCAAAAAAGAAAGAAAGAAAGAAAGAAAGAAGAATTTAGGAATCCGCCCAGAGCAGAGAGTGCCAAACAGCACTTTTAGCAGCATGCTCGTGTGCCGTCTGCCATTAACAGATTTGTGTTTCGGGTGATTAGATTTGTGGAAAAAGAATGGAACTTTGGAAAGTCCGATTTTTTCACTGCATCGGAGGGTAGAATTTGCACGTAAAGATTCTTTCCGAAGGGGACGCCAGAAGATTAGCTGTTTGGGGGACTTCCTAAAAAATAAATAAAATAAAATAAAATAAAAGTAAAGTAAAAAAGAAGCATAATTTCATCATTCACACAAATTTTTCGATTCTATTTTATTCATCCAAACTTTAAAAATACAGGAAGCAACATGAATTCTTTGAAAGGTGCAAATCAGTGTTTCAGATTAGTTTACGCTGGTTCGAAATGCGTCTCAGTATGGCTTTTTGGTCTGTTGTTTGTCTGTCTGTCTGTTGTCTGTGTACCTAGATTTTAATTAGAAAGGGAGGAAGAGAGAGAGAGAGAGAGAGAGAGAGAGAGAGAGAGAGAGAGAGGAGAGGGGGACAGAGGGAGAGAGAGACGGGAGAGAGAAAGAGAGAGGGGAGAGAGAGAGAAAGAGAGACATGGAGGGGAGAGAGAGAGAGAGAGAGAGAGAGAGAGAGAGAGAGAGAGAGAGAGAGAGAGAGAGAGAGAGAGAGAGAGAGAGCGGAGGGGGTTACTGAGGACTGAAATGCAACAGTTACTGTTATCACACCAGCTCAGCGAAGACTCGATGTTCAAACCTCAACATTTTGTGGAAAGCTGAATCCGCTGCCAGAGATATGGGCCCCTGGCTTCAGTTCTGACACACTGGCACGCGGAGAAACGAGACACCCAGAACATTCTCTTTGGCCAGCGCAGGGAGCGTCACGCTTTCTTGGATTTCTGATAAACCAATTTACCATTTTGCTCCCCCCGATCAGAGACAGTATTTATAATCATTGCCCCCCCCCCCCCCCCTCCCCCCGATAAGCTCGCGATTCTCTCAATTGGGCAACGTTTCTGCTTCTGACCAAAATGTCTATTGTCGAAGAACACGAGGAGGGCTCTCGTGGCCTAGAGGTTAAGGTGTTCGCCTCTCATTCAAAGATCCCGGGTTCGAATCCGGGTAGAGAGGATATTTTTTTTCTCTAAAAAATGTTCTCCTTCTACCTCCTTTCCTGCTCTCTAGCAATGTTCTATCGTCTGCTTTCGTCTCTACTTTCTGCCCCCACCTCCTCACCTCCTTTGTCCCCTCCTCTGGACTCCTGACTTTTTCTGCAGCCTTTCTATTGCTACTCCTTAGCTCGTTCTTACTGCTGTCTTTCAGCCACACCCCTGACCTTCTGGTAGGAAAGATCTACACCTAGCCTTCTCGGACAAGGGTGAAACATCTGGGAGGTCCCGTGTGCAAGTTGCGCTCGTTAAAGATCCATTGGTGGTCTAAAAATTATAAGAATATGCTTCGGCCGTCACCCAACCAAAAGTCAAAATTTCCTATCACCAACTGAAAAATGTTTAATGTGTCCCGCGCGCTCAAATGGACTTATGCAGTTGCGAGCGCCGTAAAACACTTACTAAAAAAAAGAAGAAGAAGACCACAAGCTGTCGTGAGCTCAGTTGGTACCATACTGGACTACGAAGCGGGTAGACCTGGCTCGAAACCCCAACGGAGCGTTCTGAAATTGGGTTGTTTTGCAGTTTCTAAGGCTGGTTCTCCACCAACGCTTACTGTGTACTGTAGGCAATGCTCTACACCAATTTGGCTTGGTACTTTCGGGAATCCGATGGACGTTAAATTTGGAGGCCCCGCCTCTCATAATTTAAAAAAAAGTACAGTACAGCGACGGGGCGTTAAACAAGTACAATTTGGCACTTTCGAAGAGCGCAATGGTGGTAGATGGGGGGGGGGGTATGTTGTTGAGGGGGTGGGGGGAGGTTTGTTGCAGCCAAAATTAAAATATGTTGCACTGATATTATCATTTTTACTTTAATGTTTTATACAAATTATGTATTACGACAGTCTTATGTGTTGATCTAATAACGTGGTTTCGTTGGCGGATGCTCGAGTCTGGCGTGTGCCTACTTTCCAGTCAAAAATACGTCCTCCTAATCTCTCCCCTTTATTTCTTGGCTTGTTGAAAATTTAAAGACCCTGTTAGCTACTGGCGTATTGTCAAAAGAAGAAAGGCAATATAATTGAGACTTTCATTTTTAAAAATTTATGGGTATTATTAAACTCTGTGAACATCTAAATCTCACTTCTCCTTTCCTCTAACCAGGAATTCTTCATTTAATCAAATAAACCAAAGTTGATAACAAATGAAGATTTTAGGAGGTAAACCCGCATTTGTCATAGGAGTAAAACTTACAACTACTGCCTTTCGTTTACGAGTTCACAATGACCAGTGCCGATATTTCCGTCATGTCCAGCTGTTTTACCTAAGTCACAGTAAAGTAAAGTTGTTCCCGCATCCGATCCGGACATTGGGGATTGCCTTGTCAGAAAGACAACTTCCTGGGTCTTCGGCATATTGTGGTAGAGTGGCCAGTTCCTTTCCACGCCGCCTTTACTTCCCCAACTCGAAATCAGGTACCCATTACTGCTGGGTGGGCAGGAGGGGGCGAAAAAAATCCGTGTCCGAACCGAGGAAGGAACACGAACTTTCCGCTTCGGAGACGAGAGCACTAACCGCTCCGCCACCGCACCCTCAAGTCACAGTACAACGGCCGATTTCTGATTTTTAAAAATACATGTAGTATTAATTGACAAAACAGAGCAAACCAAACAAAAGATCAAAACAGCTACAGACACACATTTTTAAAGCGTTGCTGATGCCATTTGACAGATTCTGTGTGTTGGTTAGGGTTTGAAAACTTAATCGACCTAGAGTGTTTCGAGTGTCCAAGTGTCTGCTGGGGTAACAATAGTCAGTTGTAAAGTGCATAGGGCATGCTGGAAAGCTTGGGTAGGAGCTATATCAAAGCAGTAGTTATTATTATAATTATTACTGTCATTATTACTGCTACTATTACTAATTATAATAGTAATTATTATTACAAATAATAATAATAATAATAATAATAATAATAATAATAATAATAATAATAATAATAATAATAATAATAATAATAATAATAATAATAATAATAATAATAATAATAATAATGGTAAGAAGAAGAAGAAGAAGAAGAAGAAGAAGAAGAAGAAGAAGAAGAAGAAGAAGAAGAAGAAGAAGAAGAAGAAGAAGAAGAAGAAGAAGAAGAAGAAGAATGATAACAATAATGATAACAGCAATAACAATAATAACAATAATAATAATAATAATAATGATAATAATAATAATAAAAATAAAAATAATAATAATAATAATAATAATAATAATAATAATAATAATAATATTAATTATAATTATTATAATAATAATAATAATAATAATAATAATAATAATAATAATAATAATAATAATAATAATAATAACAATAATAATAATAATAATAATAATAATAATAATAATAATAATAATAATAATAATAATAATACAATACGCTCACCTCTACATAAAGTACAAGTAAATCAGCATGCATACATACGCTCAAACAATAAAAACGACAACAAATAACAATTTTTTTCCTCTTTTCTATTCAGGTGAAAGTCTGACTGGACAGCTACTGTCGTTTTTGCAGCTGAAGCGACAAAATTCCTAATGGAAGCGATCGAACATATCTAATGACGTCACGTACTGTGACCCCAGTGACGGCGATCTCGGCAGTGACAAGTTCCAGGCAGCGACGTCAAAGGATTGCAGCTTACGTGTTAACGGACTGCGAAAAGACGTAACAGCCAGAGATGTATATGTGTTTCCGAGGGAGGGTGTTCAAACGGAACAATTGCCAGAGATTACTGTGAGCTTTTCAAGGGAGGGTGTTCCAATGGTACAGTTGCCAGAGATTTATGTGTGGTTTGCAGAGGGACGGTGTTCAAACAGAACTATTGCCAGCTACGAATGCCCTAGAAGAACCCCCAAAGACCTCTGCAAGAACTGACCTACTGACCTACTTACGTCAACGATGCGGGTCTGCTGTCTCGGCGTGTGCTGTGCTCGGGTCCCAGACTACCCACGGGGTACTAGACTGGTCTCCACCTTCACCTCAAGGACATTACAACAAACTTACAGTAATCTCCTTGCTTCACCTTCACTTCCACATAATACCATGCCGCTGTCTGGCTGACTGGTTGGGGCACCAATGCAGATTTTGCAACCAGCTTTTTCCCCTCCTCTCGTGGTTCCAATGACCTTCTCCAGGCGTGGTTCTCAGCTTCTCGGCAGTTCTTAGGTCACGTCTGAAGACCCACATCCAGAACCAAGTTCCCCCCTCCCTTCCCTACCCTCCCCTCCCCTTACCTCCTCTCCCCTCCTCTTCCCTCCCCCAGCTTATTCCGGCCATCTGTGTTGCTACTTCCCATCACGACAATGACCGCTATCGCGCAGAATTTGTTTTTCTTTAATTCTGTCTGTCAACATGGATCCATGACGTCACTGGGTGTCGGCCGGACAAACTGTACCAGGCACGAGCTGAATCATGGAAGTGTTGCTGTAATGACTTGTGTGGTTCTTTTGGCAAAAAGTATTCACGAACTTGAGAGACTTCGGTACTTCTTATAATATGACCTATATGTGTTGCAAATGCCGTAAAACTCGGACTTAAAACAACGAACTCAAAACTGAGAGACTGCCTGTGGCTGATATGAGCATGATATTGCTTTGGGGTTCAATCAAAGGCAGTTTGGGGCAAGTTATTGTATTTGCAATTTTAAAACAAGTGCCTTCCCTGAATTAGCCTTCTTTACATTGACTTGTGCACAGTGATCTTGGGTGAATTTGATTGTGTGTGTGTGCCCTCAGAATGACAGGGTTGTTACTCCACGTTTTATGCTACCCTCAGAATGACAGAGTTCTAACTACTCTCTGTTGTCGGTCTCTTAGAACATAAGGGTTCTTATTCCTTTTTCTATTGTAAGAACAGAGTTACACACTACACATTACTTATACAGATATCCGACACACTGTGTCAAAGGGTCGAGATAATCTGACCTTTTTCAGTTTGACGCTATACAAAAATGATGTAAAAATATAAGATTTTAGCTGAAAATGTCAATCTTTTTATCTCATTTTCTCAAAACTATGTGCCTTGAAGACCCTACAATTCTAAAAATATATGTTTTATTATACAAATATTACATCCCTCTAATATCCCACCCCCACCCCACCCCTCTTTTCTTGCCTTCTCTACCAGGGCCTGACTGTATCTGTAAGACTTTTGTTTTGGAGTTTTGAATGCACAAGACGCTAGTTCATTTCCCTTTCCACTTGGGGCAGATATTCTATTGACTCTTTAATACCCCCTTATTTCTACGATGTACTATCCAACACAGCATGGGTTGGCCGCAAATGGCAGCACATTAACATTGCACTTACTTCTTGCCGCGTGAAAGAGGGGGCAGCATTGTCATCAAGTCTTCGCGGTTTTTTGGGTTCTTGATCCTATTTTTAGAGTACAAATTTAACTTTTTGATACAGTGTAATTGAGGTGTGTTTGGAAAGATAGAGGGAAAGAAGAGCAGAAGAAGACAAAGAACAACATACACAGAATATTGCCTGAACAACTTTGCAACAAATAGTACAATGAGAAAAAGAGCTGGTCAGGAAGACAGACAATAGTGTAGTGTAGATACCATGATCGTCAATGTTTGCTCCAGACCTGACACATGAAGAAGAAAAATGGAAGAATGTATTGTAAGAAGCCTAAGTATTGTGTGCTGTATAG